TGGCCTTACCTCAGCAGCCTGTACTGTGCTGCTTTAGACCACTTTTTCCTTTCTCTAGTTACAGGACATGGGAGGGGGTTTGTTTGTTTTTAATAAGAAAACCTAATGCACATTTGCATGCTTAGTTGATGCCTTTCTCCTTGGCGAGTGACTGTGCTGGGTGGACCAGGTGATAGAATTAAGTGACTACGTGCGAGAGCTGGGTTCACTATAGCATTCTGTATTTAAAGAGAGAGAAAGTACAAGAGAAAGGTTATTTCTGTATTTACAGGTTTTCCCCCCAGCTTGGAAATTTAGTTTGGCTAGTGAGTAAAGTTCCCAGATGCAAAAAATTAGAAATTCCTCAGAAGTTTGTAAAATTTTCAATTGCTACTTGAAACCCACAAAGAGAAAGCACAAGTCTTCTAAGAAAAAAGAGCTCATCACAGGACATACTGTAACACCAGAGTTAAAACTCAGAGCAGCAGACAGACAAGTGTATTTAAAAGGGATGTTTTAAAAAAACCAAAAAAATCATGATCTTCTAGCAAAGAACTGCTCCCTGCAAAACAGCAGTTAAAAATAAATCTTGAATCTTCTTTAAACTGCAGCTATAAATTCACAGAACATTAGATGAGAAGGGTTCACAATGATAATCCATGTCTCTAGTTCTGTCAGCTTATAGCAGCCTTAAAAATGCAATGGAAGGAAAGCTCTTTAGACAAAAATCCTGCAGCAATGCAGATGCTTATTAACAAATAATCTTCCAACTCAGCAAGAACCTCTGTGTTTGCATAACTGACAAGCAGAAGTTTCCAGGAGATTCCCACCAAGGCCTCCCAGAACCAAATGCCAGTAGTGGACGCAGGGGTACAGAAAATGGCGAGGGTGTTAAACCAGTCTTCATCAGTTTTAAGTTTGAGAAACGCTGCTGTTGTGTGGAGATACTTTGAATATAATTACCCTTCATTCTTTACTTAATACACTATTGAGAATTAGCCAGATTCCAAGTGCCATTTGTCCACTTAAAGCTCTGAAACTTGGTCATTTGATGAACTATATGATTTGGCAGAGTTACCGCTTTAAATTCTAAATCAAATGACTTCCAAATTATATTCTTAAATCTAAAACTTTATAGACTGAAAACATGTAACTATGTTTATGCAGTTTGTTCCTGTTTTATTAATTCTCACTATAAAATGCAACTATACCATAGAATCACAGAAAAACACGGAGCTTTAAGTCCAGCTTTTTGTGTCTGATTTCTTTTAAGAACAACTAAACACTGTGGATTTTTAAATTTTTTTTTTAACCAACCAAATATTTGGGCACACTGCAAGACAAACACAGGATTTTTCTAGAATTAAAACCCAAAACGCCTAAAAAGGGTTATATATGTAAATTTGGATAAACCAAAAATCATGTGCTCCAGACTACATATAAAAGCTGAATCAATAATGATGAAATGACCTTACAGCATCTCTTCTCAGCATTTTTTTTTGTTTCCATGTACTCTATTGTTTACTTAAAAAAAAAAAGCCAGCATTCTAGCAGGAATTAAACTGATCGTGAAAACTATTTTAATTGAAGTAACTGGATTTAGTCAGCTTGGATCAGAATTAAAAATGGATTATATGGACAACAAAAGCTCTTTTGCATCTTTGTTCTGGATAAAGAAAATGTAAGTATTTTCTTCTACAAAAATGCATGTCAGAAATATGAAACCTGATTTGTTTTCCTGAAAGGCTAGAAAACTGGAGTACAAGCTTTCTCACCTCAGTTGAAAGAGTAAATTGTCAAACGTTTCATAAAGTGTCTTCTGTCCCAGTTCGTCAGAGTTTAATTAAGATGTGAGGGGCTTGTTTGGTTCTGTTTTAAACACAAACTGAAATCTTCACTCTGAGTTGCAGCTAAATTGAGTTTAGAAAAAAAAAAGGTGGTCTACATGATAGTAAGTTCTTGAACTTTCAGGCAGACGTTGCAGTAATACACAATTTCTGCACAAGTTACATACATACTGTATGAGTAGAACCTATTCTTTGCACTGGAGACAAATTCCGCTTTTCCGACGGCTGTGAGCTCTTGGAGCCAATACTGCCTTTCTCCTCTCTGTTTGCAGAACTTGAGCATTCTTGACTAGGGCTCCCAAATCCTTTAATGATACAGACAGTAATAGTTGCCCGATGTTCCCCTTAGAAACCTGACAAAGTACAAATTCCACAGGTGGCACCCTACAAACAGTCACACTGGGCTAAGTAAATAAATCTTGGACAGTCTATGGAGGGTCCCATGTAAAAAGGAGCCATAGTAGCAGTTTTGTGATTTAAATTAAATAATAATAAAAGCAAACGTTTCCCAAAACCCACTTCAAGCATCATTAAAGCATCCAGTTGTCACCAACCAATTAAGCCTAAGGATTTCCTCTGTTCTTTCTGTAACTGTACCTCTGATCATCTTTTGCTTATTGATGGAAGGGACCCCTCCCCCAGGAAAGAAGCTCAGCTAGAGGACACAATGCTTAAAAGCAAACGCTTTTCAGGCCCGTACGAGGGTTAGGAGGTATACAATAGCATGCATAGGGTCCTCACACTTCACAGTACGTAGTGACCTTTTGGTAAAGTTACGCTAATACTGAGAGGCCTTTTCTAACCTGTACAGGGTGGCATTTTGTAGTCTAAAAGCAAGAGCGTTTCCCCCCACTGCCACACAACAAACATTTTGAAATTATCAAAGTAATAAGCTCTGTGGGGCAGGAGCAAGGACGTGGGCACTTACTGCGGAGGAACTCACGTGCTTCAAATTTACATCCTGCCTTACCCCAGCATCCCTCCAGACGTGCCACGCTGCTGCGCAGTGTTTCAGACACTGCTGCATTAGAATACAAAGGAGTTTTGTATTCAGGAACCAAAAGTGTAGTCTAATTACACAAAAAACCCTCTGCATACGCACTAACAAAAGTATTCTTAATAGATA